AATTGATTCATCATTGCAGCTCTAGTTGCACAGCAGATAGTGCATAGTGTTCAATTGGATGAAGCAGATGCATCTGACATATGGACAATTGTTCATCCAGAAAATGCTCACTGTGTTCAGAAATCTACCTGATTGGTCAGTGTTTTCACCAACTAAACAAACATTCACAATGCAATTGGCTTTGCACAAAGAACATGATGATCAATAGATATCAATAAAATATAGTCAGAATTCAGACTGCACTTACAAATCAAACTTTGTATTTATATGTAAGATTTACGGTTGTGTGTCTTTTTCACATTTTATACCACTGCTATGGGTTGTGCGGCAAAAAAAAACAGTGCTGAGACAAAAACAATCATCTACTGTGTCTATTGAGACAAACTGTGAACTGTAAATTTAAAAAATGACTTAGGTCTGTAAAAATAAAACAATGAAATCAATCAGCTTGACTGGTTAACATAGTTTAAAGTGTTGGTAAGCATTGATATTTCACCACTTACCACCAAGCTGGTTCTTTAAAGAAGTCGATCCCTTCATATTTCCACTTTGTATAATTGTTGCATAATATGCACATGCAATATCACCCTTTCAAAATGTATGCAGTCGATCCCAATGTCTTATATTAATTATTTATTCAACTATAGCATTAACAATTAACATTCAATTTCAAGCCAAGTTCTCTGATGTGTAAGAAGAAAAAATTGAACCTGACACACAAAGTAAGTTACATTTTCAGAGCTAAATAAGTCAAATAAAAGCAAATAAATACTGAGGATCCTGTCTAAGAAGCTACAATGAGGATGCTACAAGCAATCACACCACACCCCAGGTCATATTGGAAACACCACACTCTGATATGACACCAAAGTTTATGTTTAAACTTCAACAATTCCATAAAATATTTCACTTTTACAGTGAAGCAGCAGAGATTTAAGCTTCTCTAAAATTAAATGCAAAACTTACAAAACACTTGCTGTCCTTAAGTTATCGTATATTTCACAGGAAATTTCTTACAGTGCCCATGCCAGTAAATGGGCCCCGAGGCTTGGAACGATACTGCCACACTGCACTAAAACCTTAAGATGATTAGTGATATTCTTAAAACCTAGCACACTGATAATGTGTTTAAAGAAGCGATACGGCTTTCCAAGCTTTGAGTTCAAAGTCTGAGAAGCATGGGGTCAGAATGCCAATGGGCTAAACAAAGAGTAGCCAAAATGGGCTTTGGGGGATTTGAAACTTAGGCCCCTGAACCCCTTTGATCAAAACAGAGCTACGGCCATAGAAATACCAAGTATCAAGTGCCTGGTGTTGCTGCCAAAGAATTGTGAGCTTTGCATGTACAATCAGACATTATATGTTCAATAACAGATAAAAATAATAGTATAGAAGGAAGCTAAGTAGTATGAAACAACTAGTTTAATATAATACTCAAGAGTTCCAAGCAATGACCAACATCCAGGACAATTTAAGGTAGATTTTCAAAGCTAAGGATAAAGCCAGATGGCTCTATGCACTGATGGGTGATGACACTAATCTTAAAGTTGACATTTCTACATCAAGTAAGCAGTAGCAACACAACTTTATTCTAAAACAAGAAAGACACAGAAGGATGTTGAGTGAAGCCCATAGCTGATGTTTCAATCAATTTTAGCTAAAAGGTTTGGATAATCCCTTTTTAAATTCTATTTTAAACTAATGGCATACAAAGATTAAATCAGGTGGTAAACACGTTTTTCTTCACCATCTGTTTTCAGAGTGCTATGTGGAAATATTCAACTGGCTAATTAGTTCTAGTCTGACTCCCAGCGAGTTTTCTGTTTTAGTCGGTTTGCTTGATGAAACAAACAAGAACAAAAATGATTCAAACTCAAACTTGAACAGATTTCCCCATCTTGAGCAACTAAGTAGGCATATTGTCATCTTATTCTAATTATAACAAGAGAATCCAACTGTGTTCAAAGTTTCACTACCAAATTGATGATGAGGCTAACAATATAACCTGACCAAATGTACAGTGAGACTAATAAATGTTTTTCCTTAACGTCAAGATACCTGAAGTTGTAAAAAGAAAATGGGCAAATAATCTAAAATCATAAATCACAAACTCAATTATGCGTGTTTATTATCATCCTGTCAGTTATAGTGTAACACCTCTAGGCAGCTACATCAACAAGTGATTAGTGCTGGAGACAGCCATAATGGCAAATAAAACATATAATGGAGAAGACGAATTGAGAGAATTTCAATTAGCCTATGTGAAGTCTTTGAATATTTCCTCATGGCACTGCTGGTTAGCTCATATTTAATCACTGTGTTTCCAGTCCACATTAAGAGTATTCAAATGGTGCATGGTGAGTCATACAGTGTGACTGGTGTGCCACCACAACAACAGCAGCAACAACAACAACAATACACACTGTAGGACTGTCTACAACTACAACCGAAGGACATAAAAGTGCAGCATATGCTGCAACTTGTTCTGTATATTTGGCAGTGTAACGTGCATAGTTGTAATACCATGAGTGTGTCTTTCTTTTTTGTTAAAAAGAATAACATCACAGTCTGGATAAAAATGAATCCATGCCTTCCTCTATTTCATTAATAAGTGTGGTATCAGATACATTATTATTGGTATGTACCTGCATG